TTCATTCAACTATGTTGTGTAATTGTTGAGATATGTGATATTTTTGTGACCACCATTTTTTTTGAATCACACTGTATATCATTTACCATTTAAAAAGTTAACCAATAAATTATATTGTTCTTCAAAACTTATCAGCTACATTCCTTCTCAAAATGATTATGAATTAAATTAAAAAAACACACATATATAGTAAATAAGTCTACTTGTATGCAACTGATGTACTATTAATATTAAATTACAAAAAATAAAACGATTAAAAATATACTATAAATAAATAATATTGTTACAATTACAATTACAAGTCATTAATTCTATAAATTTTTTTTCTGCCAAAAGAAACCCCCCCCCCCCAATATTAATTAATACTATTATTTAATCAAGCAACAATTAAATAAAGCATTGTTACAGTAATAATAAATAATGATGTAGCAACACTGTATAAATTATAAATTGTGAATTCCAGATCAAGATGTCCAGATGAAAATGGTGGTGCAAATGACATGATAGTAGAAACTAATTAATTTGATATAAATTAATTACATTAATTATATGAATATAAATGTATTAATTTTTTATAAATAATTGTATGAAAGAATTACCTGATGTTGTTGATGTATTAGAAACACTAGAGCTAGAACTAGGACCTGTAAAGAGAAAAAGAAAAAATCAGATCAACATTAATCCCAATTGAGCTAGTAAAAACTGAACTATCAGTAGCAACTGTAGTAATAATTGGACCATCAATAGCAACTGCTGTGCTAACAGTGACAATTAGACTAGCTGTACTAGTGACAGGTCAGTGGTAGTAACATCATTTTTGATACAAGAAATAAAAACAAAAAAAACTGAATAAACAAATAATAATTACTAGCTGGTTCTTTTTTTGGTGGTGGTGGTGCTATAAAATAAATAAATAAAACATCACTTTTTGATTCAAGAAATAAAATGAAGAAAATAAACAAATGATAATTACTAGCTGGTTGTTTTTTTGGTGGTGGTGGTGCTATAAAATAAATAAATAAAACATCATTTTCTGACCCAAAAATAAAAATAAAGAAAATAAACAATGATAATTACGAGCTGGTTGTTTTTTTGGTGGTGGTGGTGGTGGTGCTATAAAATAAATAAATAAAACATCATTTTCTGACCCAAAAATAAAAATGAAGAAAATAAACAATGATAATTACGAGCTGGTTGTTTTTTTGGTGGTGGTGGTGGTGCTATAAAATAAATAAATCAAACATCATTTTTTGATTCAAGAAATAAAAGTGAAGAAAATAAACATATGATAATTACGAGCTGGTTTTTTTGATGGTGGTGGTGATGGTGTTAAATTAAAAATAAATAATTTAATTAATTAAAAATCAATATGGATGCTATTAGAAATCAATCAAATAGATAATTATAATTACGAATTTGTCTTTTTTGTAGATGTTCAATTTCAATTGATTGAATCGGGCTTGTGAACTCAACAATGAAAATAAAGCCTATCAGAACTATTATAAGTGTCATCAATGTTTTTGAGTTAGTTTTGTTCATTTTGTCCTTGGTGTATACATATATATATATATATAAGAACGGTCGATGTTTTTTATGCAAAATATTTCCTTATTTGTATTTCTTTGGTCAAGATTTGACAGTGGTTTTATAATGTACTGACCGTCCAAACTTAACTTAACATTAACATATATATATATGTACCATTGAAATTTTGATCTATTATTATTATTTATAGCTTTCTTTAGTTTTACAAAAATTTTTTAATTGATTTAATTGGATGGAATTAAAGTGATTACAATTGGTATGTAAAAAAGGTTATGATGATCTTATTATTTAATATTATTATGAAACAAATTTATTACGCATTTATTTCTAAAAAATGGTTGAAATGAGACCTGATCATACCATTTATTTTTAGATAGAATTATTGTTTATCTCTAAAAAAATGATTCATTTGAACTATTATTTTTTACATTGATTATAATAAAAAAAGTAAAGCAGATTTTTTTATTTTAAAATCAATATAATAAAGATACAAATTGGTTTGTGCCTAATTACGCGTAAAAAAGTTTATTTCCTACATCTTTATCAAATTTCCTTTATTTTTAAATGAAACGCATGCATAATCTATCTAGGCTACAATGTTTGTGTAATTAATACATTTGATGTAGTGTATCATTTGTTCTACTAAATATATATAAAACAAATGTAATTGACGATCCGTTTATGAACGTGTGAACTCTAAATAGTAATAGTAATAGTAATAATTAGGGATCGCGAGGTAAAATATCACAAATTTTACCAATTGACTGACGACTTGTATAAAAAAATTGTACGATACTTTAGTACTATAAAATAATATATTTTTTTATTTAACAAATGTCAAAGAACATATCTATACTAATACTAATACCTTCTTTTTTTTTAAGAATGTCGAAAAAAAGGATTTACTCTTGGTGATGTAGAGATAAATGAGAGTTTTTTGCGTTCGTGTAACTTATTTAAATCAAATTATCAGTTAATTTAGTCAAATAAAACTATTTCGAAATTCTCAAAAAAGTAAAATTTATCACGTGATGAGGATGTGAGTATCGTCAAAAAGTAAATAAACTTTCATTAATTAAAAAAAAAAAATTTTTAAAATATTATTTCAAGTAAATTATTTGAAAACAATGTCATTTAAATTGAGTGCCATTTGCATGATTTATTCAATCATTAACACTAAAGAAATAAAATTAATATTTTGCAATAAAGGCTATGATTTATTTGTTTATCTATTAAAAATTTCTACTCTTCGAGATTTTTTTATTTTATTAATATCAAATAATACAAAGAATAATAATAATGGTCGCGTAACGATTCTTTCTGATCATTTGTTATAGATCCTTTTTTTTTTTTGGAAATGAAAATTTTAATTAAAGGGATATGTATACAATATTGCAAAAAAAATAAATTTAACAATAGTTAATTGACGATCCGCGAATAAATGAGAGAATTGTCGATCAATTTACTATTAAAAAATGAGGGAAATTTAATATAGTGTTTGTACTCATAATGATTTACTCATGAGTAATCCAGCATAGTGGAATTTCGTAATTATCACGAATGTGACTTAAAATGTCGATCTTTTTTATATTGTGTAATGGTAATTT